AATCATTAAAAAAAAGTAAACAAAAGACAAAATACTCCCACAGCTTAAAGTAAATACTTACTCTGCATTTTTTAGTAGAATACTGTTCTAAAGCTCAAAATCCCTTTAGAAATGAAGCAAAATAGGCTCCTCTTCACTGATCTAAGGGCGCATAATTTAATGCTTTAATGCTCCATTAAACCACTATCGTGCTTCAAAGCTTAGTCTTCATAAAAATCAAATTAAAGTTTATTATTTATGTTAATCTGTGACATGGTGTGGCACTTTTTGATATTTGTAGTTTAATTGTATATTCTTTATATGTCAAACAAAATAAAAGAAAACAGCTCAAACTCACATAAGAAAACATACTTTTTGGTTCCCATACAACTACAAATTTCAAACAAGCCATTGTAAATGACCACAAACTGGGATTACATCTGAACCTGATTGGCCCTAACTTTTCCATTTGTTTATCATTAGTTTAAAACTATGTAACCCGGCTTGTGCTAGGGTTTGCCAAGATGTAATATGTAACCATATGTTAATAGTTTCACATATTTTTGTATTGTACTTTTTTGTCTTGAAAATGTTCTTGTTTCATCTAGCAATTATAATGCACATGTATCATTGTGTACAATTAAAATCTTTAAATGTTCAGTCAAGGCAATTTATAAAATATATGCAAAATGAGAATTTAATCCTGATTCTCATTTTTATATAGCATTTGTTAGAAACAGTTATGGCATAGTACACTCTATATATATTTACATCTCATTTTATGCTAGCAACACTCAAGCCTGTTTTAAAGGCTTCTGTTCTATCTGTATGTTTTATCAATGGATTACCACTGCTGGAAGTGACTTCAAATGTATAGGGCAGGGGTAAGCAACCTTCGGCACTCCTGCTGTTGGGGACCGCATCTCCCATAATGCCTTTACAGTCATAATGCTGGCAAAGCATTAGGGGAGATGTTCACATCTGGAGAGCCAATGGTTGTGCACAAAACAAAATTGTGATCACACCATGGACGAAGTGAAGGCTTCTGGATTATGACTTTGTTTTTCCTTTAACCAATCATCGTTTTTCATTGCCCACTCTGATAAGTTAAACGTACAGCAGTAACATTCCAGTGGATAAAACTTGGGAAAGCACCTAAATCATCTATTATTATTATTATTATTGCCATTTATATAGCACCAACAGATTCCGTAGCGCTTTACAATATTATAAGAGGGGGGATTTAACTATAAATAGGATGATTACAAGAAAACTTATAGGAACGAAAGGATGAAGAGGACCCTGTTCAAACGAGCTTACAGTCTATAGGAGGTGGGGTATAAAACACATTAGGACAGGACAATCTATAAATTGTGTTAACCTTTTATTATATGATGCTCCATTTTCTTAAAATGTATATTAAAGCCAGAGCACACATTGCTTTGAAGGTGGAGAAACAAAAGCAAGGTCATAAAAAGACAGAGCTTGTACAAATGATTGTCAGGGAGCAAAGACAGAAGCACTAGGTTCCAGAATAGAACACAATGGATTTTTTCTTTCATTTATGTTTACTGGGAAATGATAGTTCTCATTTAACTTCTTAGCATCACTTGGTAGGATATTGGAAGCACATGACAGGACTGGACCAATGTGAGAAACCCACCTTCAGTAAGTTTCCTAGTATAGTTTGTCTTGTTGGGCAAACATGTATCATTGGCGATTGAGCCCCTAGCTTCTGACAGTCATATAACTAGGCTCTGAAGCTGAATTAGGTGCTAGGGAGCCTGAGGCTTGAAATACCAGAGAAGTCCAAAACAGTTTAGCAAACATAAGCCAGTTTAAAACTCAATCGTAACTAAGCTAAGGAAACAGGAGAACCGAAGACATCACTTATCACATATTTTCAACTGGTTTTATATGGAGTGGTCTCTTAGAAGATGTATATATAATCCAATGGGCCCCATAATCGTCAGTTAGATGGAGATCAATAGTGGGGTGCAGATACAGAGTCAGTAATGTATAATTATTCAAATAATTGCACTCAACCAGATTTAGGTAGAATGGAATATGTTCTACTTTGTTTTACCTTCAAGCAGGACAATCAAAACAGTGTCAACATTTCAGTCTTCATAGGATCCTGATGAAAGTCCCTGTGAGGACTGAGTTGTCAATACTGTTTCTATTTTCCTGATTGAATGTAAAACAAAGAAGAAAATATCTCATTCTACATATATCCGGTTGAGTGTGATTATTTGGATAATATATATATATAATTTATTCACAATTTATTTTTTATTCTATATTATAAATGCATGTCATGATCAGCAGGCGTTGATTTTACAATCAAACAAGAGCAATACTTTTTGGGGCTTTAATGAACAATTGCTTATATGTTACATTGGCATTGAACATTGAACATTCTAATTCATTCAAAAGTTAAATCAAACTATGGTCTTATGGATGCCTATTTTATGGAAAACAAGATGCACCAATTCCGTAACAAATTTCCTGAGACCTTGTCTTGCCTTTTTTTCCCACCAGACACCATAAATTTGGCTAATGTTGTAGTCAACATCTTGTACAATGATCCTCTTGACATCTCTCTGTGCGAGGATGAACAAATCTCTATATGATATTGCTAATATGAGCCATCTCATGCGATCTTCTGTAGAAAATAATCTTGTAATGTTATGGCAACATACCTACTGGCAGTCTTGACTGAGTCTGAATCTTGCCGGAAGGTGAGCTTTAATTAATTTATTTGGATGCATTTGAATTATCAGAGCAAAATAAGAGCTTAGTGTATAACTCGGTACAGTG